CACTGAGTGGTGGCTACAGCACAGACAACTGAGGAGACAGAATAGGAATTCAATGCTGTCACATTCCGTGTCAAACAGGGGAAAACAGATCACACCTGACAATAGGTGCAGACTTCATATATAAAAGTTGTGAGCTCGGCATGTAGTAAAGAGTCAGAAGGTATTGATAAAACTTAAGTGCCGCACCAGCACGGCAACTGTAGTTCTTCTGAGCGAGGGACGTCGGGATTAACACACAACACAATTTCAGGTTCTGCAGGCAAGCCTTTATTCCAGTTTCTCACACAGTATATATAGCCCTCAGCAGGAGAGGCCAAGCCAGCAAAAACAAGAAGCTTATTACATAATACCATAGGGGTAAACATCTTTAGAAAATTGCTGAAAACAACAGATTGTTTTGTTCTTGTTTTTGCTCTTGTTTTCAGAACAACCAACCACAAGAGTGCAAAACAGATCAAGTGGGAGTGCAAAGGCCTGTCCTCTAGGGACCCAACAATTTCTCCCTTTTTATTTTAAAAGCATGAGAGCCCCTGTCTTAGGACTCCCTCAGATAGAAACTCTTACCCATCTACGGGAGGCCTTAATCCTTGTCTTAGGCGAGCTCTCTATAATAGGGACTTCTGAAATAACCAAGCAAGGCACAAATGAGCTCACAGAGACTGAAGCCACAAACACATGGCCTACATCAGGTATTCTGCATATATAGTATAGCTATTAGATCAGTTTATTTTTAAATTAAACTCCCGAATATGAAAATGAGTGGGTCTCTGATTCTTGTGCCTGCTCTTGGGACTCTTCTCCTCCTATAGGGTTACCAGGTCCAACTCAAATATGAAAGTTCTTGCTTCATTTATTAAATCTTATTTTATAATGTTCTTTTGTCATTTCTTAGAATCCTGTTCTTTTGTTATGAGAGTCAGAAAGGGAAAAATCAGAGTGTGTGATTTATAATCAGGATGTATTTTATAATAAAATAATTTATTTTAATAAAAATAAGACTTTATGAGACCATCAAAGTAGAAAAAAATATAAAAACAATTATTGTGAAACATATTTTTGATAAAGAATAACAGGAAAAGAAAACACTTTGGGATAGAAAAGATTTTTGTATTGTAAATTAGTTTAGATCTAACAGTAAAGGATTCTTCAAAATGTAAATGTATAAAGATGAAACTAGGATGTTTAACTATTTAGTACAATGCATGAGTGATAAAGTGTATAGGAATTGTAAATATGATTAAGTTTACTAAATTAAAAGCTATTAAAATTTTCTTAGGTCTCCTCACCCCCCCTTTTTACCACTTCTCTTTCCCTTCCACCCTCCCTTCTCCCTTCACCCCCATGCTCCCAATTTTGTCAGGTGATCATGTCTATTTCTAACCAAACTAGTCCCTTTGAATGTGGTTGATAGTTGCATGGCTGGGTCAAGCTGAGGGGCCACTGGCAGTGACATCAGGATTTATCCCTACTGAATGTATTGAATTTTTGGAAGCCTATTTTCTTTGGATGGATACCTTGCTCAGTCTAGATAGAGTAGAGAGGGCCTTGAGCCTTCCACAAAGCAATGTGCCTTACTCTTTGTGAGGATTGGATAGGAGTGGGGTGAGAGGGAAAGGGAGGAGGGGAGAGAATGGGAACTTGGATTAGTATTTTTTAAAAATCTAATAAACTATTTAAAAATGTACACAATAAAAACAATTTTTGAAAAAATTTTTTAGGTCAAATTAAATATACTGACAAAAATTAATCTTGTCTTTATACTTACAAAATTAAGGTTTTATGTTTATTTTAAAAGGTAAAAAATTAGCTTCAATATAGACAGAGACTGCACTTTTGTTTCCTGGCTGCCAAGATCTGAATAATACACAGAAACTGTATTAATTACAACACTGCTTGGCTGCGGTTTCAGGCTTATTTTGAGTTCACTCTTACATCTTAGCTTAACACTTTTCTATTAGTATATGTATAGACATGTGGCCATGATGTTACCTCATTTTCTACATATTTTGTTTCCTCAGGGCATAGTTGGCATCTCTCTGACTCTTCCTACTCTCTCTACATATCTTTGTTCAGATTTCCTGTCTGGCTTAACTCTGCTAAGTCATTGGCCAAAGCAGCTTTACTCATTAACCAATAAAAGCATCCCATACACAGAAGGACATCCCATGTCATCTTCCATTTTCTGTCTAAGTAAAATGGAAGGCTTTAACTTTACCATAGTAAAATTGCATATACAAAACAGTTATCAAGCAAGAATTATAGTTACAATATTTAATCCATTTGCATTTGGCAAATTAAGGAAAATACTCTATCATCTATCCTATTTTGTGTGCCTGAAGTTTTATATCTAATTTATCTTTTATCATAACTAAGGAAAACTATAACTATAACTACCTATTTTCAACTCCATCAAAGATCCCAGAAGAATAAAATATTGTTTATGTAAACAGGAAGTGCATTGTAAGCAACTTCCAAAGTTATAGAAATGACAGAGATATCTCACTGCCTGGATAGTCAATCAAAGTTTTTTTGTAATGTTGGGGCATCAGTCTATAGGCCATAATATTTAGCAGTCTTTTCAGTGAAGCAGGAAACTTGAAGATCTGTTTTTTTTCTTGCACTGGCAAAGTTTGTCATTTGCTTTCTTCTGTGTCCTGTAGAATGACTGGTGGTTTCTTCCGTGAAGCAGGACCCCTGAAGGGCTGTCTCACATTCTTTTGGCAACTTCAGCAGTCATTTTTCTGTGGGTCCTGCATGTCCAGTTTATAGAGTATACCATCTAGCAGTCCTGGCAACAACACTTTCTTGCCAAATTGCTAGCATTGTTACATTGAAGACAAATTCCATAATGAGCTTCTTCAATGATCACTAGCCTGTTCAAAGTAATTGGTGCTGCCAGAAGCAAATATGTCTCATTGTTGAGAAAGGTCTGAGACCTTAAAGCTTTTTAAATGCCATATTCTGTTAGTCTTTAAAGTGCTGAAAATGATCTAACTGAAATATATGTCTTTATAGCTAGAAAACCTAACTATTATGAGTATAAGGTTGACTATTATAAATCAATATCTATTAATCTGTAATTTTAAATTATACATTACCTTTTTTAAATGAGATGTTTAAACATAATACCTTAAAGAAGAGTAGGAATATACATATAACAAAATTGACCTTAAATTTATTTCAATAAACCAAAGTCCATATCAATGTATTCATTTTTATATCATATTCTCTCCCTGTTTCGTAGAAAAAGATTTATTGTGACCATTAACTGTTTATAATCAACCACTTGTAAATGAAAACAAACATTTATAAACAATCATTTTTGAAACTTGGGTATTGTTTTTTAACTCTACCTACTCTGTCTATATATCTCTGTTCAGATTTCCTGCTTGGCTTATCTCTGCTAAGCCATTGGTCAAAACAGCTTTATTCATTAACCAATGAAAGCAATACATATAAAGAAGGACATCCCACATCACTGGTAGATGCTCTATCCATCTGTGTGATGGGTATTTGAAATCTGATGAATAAAATGTATCTGTGTGCCTCAAAAATATGGTTAAAATAAGCCTTAATGCTAAACTAGTAAGTTTTCTATAGATTTGAAATCTTCACTAGCCAAAATGTTATAGCCTCAGCAATAGTGAATATTTTGCTTGTAGTCATTATTCCTACTTGAAGAATCCTTGCTAAATAATATATTTTATGGGTTTTTGTTGTTATTGTTGCTTTGCTTGGTGAGAAAAAAACCATAAACTTGGGTAGGTCAGGAGGTGAGGAGTATCTGGGAAGAGTTGGTGGAGGGGAAAGAATATGAGCAATATATATTTTATGAAAAAAATTTTAAATAAAAAAGGTTAAAATAAGCTTTAAAATGACTCAGACTTATATATTAAAATAATTTAAACAATTTTATTCATTTAAATGTTAAAATTTGGTAACTTCCATAAATATGATGAAATATTGACCTCTCCAAAAATCTTGTTAAATCTCACATAAACAATAATTTGAGGGCTGGGAAGGTGGGTTAATGAGTAAGAGAATTTTCTTTGCAAGCACATTATACAAACCTGAGTTTAAATCCTCTATCCAAGCCAGGCGATGGTGGCGCACGCCTTTAATCCCAGCACTCGGGAGGCAGAGGCAGGCGGATCTCTGTGAGTTCGAGACCAGCCTGGTCTACAAGAGCTAGTTCCAGGACAGGCTCCAAAGCCACAGAGAAACCCTGTCTCGAAAAACCAAAAAAAAAAAAAATCCTCTATCCAAAAAGTCAAAGTCACCAGTATCTAAAGCAAAGCAGAATCTGGAGACCAGAAGATCACTGGGACTGTCTGGACAGAAGCTATCCTCAAGGTTAGGTGAGAGATTATGTCTCAAAATCACTAAGTTGGAAAATGAGAAGCAGGACAACTGATACCTTCTTCTGGCCTCTCTCTCTCCAACCCCCCACAAACTACACACATACACAACACATTTCTGTGAGTAAAGAGAGAAGTTATTACATAAGGTAAGACCTTCACTTAGAGCAAAAATCACTGTAGAAAAATATGGAATATATGTTTTCCTGTTATTATTACAAGTCAACTTAAATTTGCCACTTTTAACAATTAAATAGAAATGCATTAAAAGTAGAAAAACATATTTTTTGAAGAATATAAACATACTTTAAAGAAAAGATTTATACAAAAAAGGATTTCCTTGGGGATATAAATCCAAACCACTATTAAAATTTATATATCTATAAACACCACAGTTTCCTTATGTTACAAGGATATTTAATTTGTTGAGTTAACTTTAGTTTATCTGCATGAATTCAAAACAACAAATAATGAAAATCTACACTTAAAGTATACATTAATGATTTAGAAATCTATAATATTTCTATGATAATTGTACAGACTCATTATTTAACAGTATATAAGCTTGCTATATGTGACAATACAAAACTAGAAATTTTGATTTTTTTAAAAAAAAACACCAAATATTTCTCTGAAAATCATTTATGACTTTATGAGTTTTCTCAGAACACCTAAAACTTCCTTATTTCTTAAACTGTAAATAAAGGGGTTCAACAGAGGAATCACAATGGTGTAGAACAGAGAATACATCTTATCCTTATATTTACTTGGTCCAGACCCAGGGCTCACATACATGAAGAAGAGAGTGCCATAGAACAAGGAGACAGAGAGCAGGTGGGCACTGCAGGTGGAGAATGCTTTGCTTCTGCCCCTCTCAGACTTTGTTTTCAGGATGGAAAAGAGAACATGAGCATAGGAGACCATGATGCTCATGAAAGTAATAGCTTGTATGACAGCAGCAAAAATGAAGACCACCAATGCATTAATAGATGGGTCAGTACATGAAAGTGTATAGAGTGGCAAGATCTCACAGTAGAAATGATCTATTATATTGGACTGGCAGAATGTTAATCTAAATAATAATCCTACATGGACAAGTGGATGCAGAAAACCAATTGTATATGAAACACCTATCAGGCAAGTGCACACTCTATTGGACATCACCACAAGATAGAGGAGAGGATTGCATATGGCAACATAGCGGTCATAAGCCATCATTACCAGAAGGAAACATTCTGTGGTGGCACTGGATCCAAAAAAATAATATTGGGCCATGCATTCATGGAGGGAAATCATTTTATCATGGTCTAAGATGTTGACAAGCATCCTAGGAGTCACTGAGGATGAAGTACAGGCATCTGCAAAGGCTAAACTTCCAAGGAAAAAGTACATAGGAGTGTGAAGATGTGGGTCCTTCCAGATGAGAAAAATTAAGCCAAGGTTGCCCACCATGGTAGTGATGTAGATGAAGAAAAACACCAGGAACAGGGGAACTTGCATCTCTGGGAGATCTGTAATTCCTCTGAGAACAAACTCAGTCAGCAGAGTCCTATTGACTTCCATAATATCCCCTCAGTCTGCTCACTGTAAAGAATTTTAGATGAAGAAATTATGACCAAAATTCAAGCAAGGTGTAATTGATGTCAGAATCACATTTTCTCTCTCAGATGCTCATTAATCAACCCATATGAGTATAAAATATTTCTTATTTTACAAATACACCTTACATACGATGCTTCTTAGAATCATTTTGAGGTAAAGTGAATTTTAATGGTATAATTTTATGAGAAATTTTAAGGAATAGCCTAAAGATACCAATAAGGTCTTAGTGTACCATCATAGTTACTCAAGTTGCATAGGTAGTTGTAATATTTATATACAAGAAAGAATGAAAAATAATTAATGCCTATCCAGTACAGCTACTTTAACAATACCGATAAAAGTACAAAATTTCTGTAGTAATAAGAGCGGTGGGGCTGTGTCCCAAGCACCCTGGATGCCTGCTAGCTTATGCCCAGAAATAATTACATGGACACTGTATTCTTTTAAACACTGCTTAGCCCATTAGCTCTAGCCCTTACTGGCTAATTCTGATATCCCAATCAACCCATTTCTAATAAACTGTGTAGCACTGGCCTTACCCGGAAAGATTCTGCATGTCTGACTTGGCGGCTTGCTTCATGGCGTCTGGCCCTGAGAGGAGCTGCATGATGTCTGACCTAACTTCCTCTTCCTCCCAGCATTTTGTTCTGTATACTCCACCAACCTATGTTCTTACCTATCAGGGCCAAGGCAGTTTATTTAACCAATCACCTTCCTCCATCATTTCCCCTTTTCTGTTTAAACAAAAAGGAAGGAAGGCTTTAACTTTAACATAGCAAAATTACATATAACAAAACAGTTATCAAGTAAAAATTACAATAATCTTTATCATAACTGAGGAAAACTATAACTATAACTAACTATTCTTCAACTCCATCAAAGACTCCAGAAAGATACAATATTACCTAAGCAAACAAGAAATAAGCAACTTTCAAACTCTAGAAATGACAGAGACATCTCGCTGCCTGGACAGTCACCCAAAGTTCCTCTGTACCGTTGGGGCATCCATCTTCGGCCTACAGGCCCATAGTTTCCAGCAGACATTTCCACAAAGCAGGAAATTTCAAAGGCAGTCACTATCTGCTTGTCCTGAAGAATGTCTCGCAGACTCTTTCATGAATCAGGAACCCCGAAAGATCATCTCACCTTTAGGCAAGTTCAGCAGTCCTCTCTCTGCGGGTTCTCTGTGTCCAGTTTATGCAATAGTCCAGGCAAGAGCAGTTTCTTGCCCAAATGGCTATCAAACTCCATAAGGATCCTCTTCGATGCCCATCTTCCTCTTGAAGTAGATTGGTGCTGCCAGGAGCAGAGTGTCTCATTGTCATAAAAAGTCCTAAGTTATTAAAACATTTAAAAATGCTATATTCTGTATTCTTTGAAAGATATAAAGAATACCTATCTGAAATATATCTATGCACATCTAGAAAATCTAACTAAAATGACTACAAGCTTGATTATCCATTAACAACCTATATACATTACATTTTTAAACTATACAATCACAATACCTTAATATCAGAAAAAAATATATATATATAACAAAATTGACCTTTAAATTTCTTGTCTTGCTGATACACACTTATGTTTTTGCCTCTATATTATATTGATAAGTTATTTATGTACTTAGGTAAATATTCCACACCTCAGTTTGTGACTACTAAAAGCTGATTTTCTCAAAGCATATGTTTTCCAATTGCCCAACCCTACTATAGAAAACTGAGAGTTAGTTAAAAAAAAAGCCTGCAAAGAATAATCTTGAGATAGTAAAGTATATGGATGTACTAAAGGATTTTTTCTGAAACAAAAAAGTAATATTGTTATATTGTAGAAATTATTACTTTCCAATTTTGTTGAGAATGTGAAACAAAATCTTTGTTTGGGCTTTGACTTGACATCATAACATATTAAATAACAGAGAACCTGACTGTGAGTCTAATAATTATTTGTTATTCTATGCTCAATCCGCAGAGGCATCAGATTATCCTCATTTAGTATCTGCCAAGAATTCAGCAATGCAAGTGACTCTTAAGATACAAGAGTATTCTACATATTTCTAGGAATGATATCTAAAGCATGATCCAGGTGAGGACAGTACTCAGTATACAAAGATCTCACCCACTTATATGGTTCTTGGCACTTGGGAAAGTCTTTCTGCTACAGGAAGATTTGGAATGTCAGTGCCAGAAAGCAGTTACTTAGTAAAATATCCAGAATATTGGTTCTATATTCTTATCTTACAGGAGCATGCATGTGTGTGTGTGTGTGTGCACGTGAGCACACACATATTTAATTTCAAAATCTTTGATCCTCAGTTACCACCTCTAAATAATTGGGTTATCTGCAGTAATACATCTTGTGAATCTTGTTTTTTTTTTACTACAAAGTTTTGAATTCATCAATAAACATACCCTCAACAATCTTAATCCATGGTTTTTCATTGATGTCAATAAGCAGCACAGCAAAAAACTAAGCAGAGAGTTCTTCACACATTTATATGATTGGATTCAAATTCCTGTAGTACAAATACCTAAGTGTATGCATGAGGATTAAGAGGACCAGACAAGATGTTTCAGAGTTTTTCACAATCAGTTCTGCTTTCTATTTTATATGGTATTCCACAGATCCTCTCACCAGATATCTTAGTATATTAGCACTTTTATGAAAAGACTCTTAGTATTGAGATATTCTATTTTAAAAATAATTTCATTCAAATAAAACACTCTATCTTACCTAATGCCTACAAAAAGGCATTGTGATATGGATACCATGAGATTTACATCATCATGAAGAACGCTTATGGTGAAGAATGAAGACAGCATAGGCAATTTTTCTCTTCATGTCAATTCTCCTTAAGAAGTGTTTGGATGGAATGATTTTTTTTCACATCTTAAATGCTGTTTGTGAGGTCAACACTGAAATTCCTTTAATACTAACAGAATCCCAGTAGAATAGCCAGTCTCTTGATAGTATTCAAAAATTAAGAAGTCACTTCTAACAAACCTATTATAACAATTGTTTCCATGTTTTCTTTTGTTTGAAAACAAAAGCATTACAACTTAATGATGATAAAACACACATTCCATTAAGAGTCTTCTTTAGATGTACTGACTTTCTAACTTGGCTGCAGATATGAAGTAAGAAGCCAAGAAAATCTACAAGACAGGTGGCATAGATGCTGATGCCTGTATATGGGAACAACTCTAAGACTGGATGAGACATGAATCATCTTGTTGGCTACGAAGTCCTTATGGCTTACTGAATATCATTCTTTCCAATGACATGACTAGAGATTTAAATTACAATTTGGTTATATAGTCCAAATTGCTTTATGAAGTTGAGAGATGTCTTATGCCAGTTCAGTCACAGAACAGAAAATCATCATTAGCTGATTTGTGCATACCACATATTCCATGATTGTATTAATGTACATATGTATGTTACCTTTAAAAGTTTGTGTATGTTTTGAAAAAAAAAAGGACCAGACATCAGTGAGGAGAAGTAGCCAGGTTATCTATCCTCTCAGAATACATCTGTTGCAGTTTCCTAAAAAAATCTGCATCTAGAACAACTTCATAGTAGTTAGACAAGATGGTCCAGTTTCATAGACTACTTTAGCCAAGATTTCAGTTAAGCCCTGAATTTCCCATCACACACAGACCAGATAACAAATGAGACAGTTAGCTCTCCCTGGCCTTTGATCTTATTCCAGTTTTCTCAGGGCTCCTAAAAGATGCAATTGCCTGCAGACAGCAGGCTGGGATTAAAGGCGTGCGCCACCACCGCCGGGCTTGAAAAATTTTTTGAAACCTGTGACTCAAATGAAAATTTCTTATTGGTATTGTGGTTTTTGTTAGATGGTCTTTGACTCTCGGAGGGAGCATTAAAATTCCTGATGGAACATTTTTATTTTAAACATTATGTGAAGAGTTATACAAAGACTGGATAAGTTCACAATCTTATCAATGTGAATGATGGTTCTTTTTTCCCCATAATCCCTCAGCACTTGTCAGTTGTTTTATAATAAGATAAATTTAATTGGAAAGCTGTTACATCTAAAACATTAGAAGAATCTCAATGGAATATGTCTTTTATTAAGTTGAAATGTTTTGATTTTCAAAAGAAAGAGGGCATATGAAAACAATTTTTATAATAGTTTCCTTGTTGAGACTTCTTAATTCTTTGCATGCTCTCTGGAGAATGGCTATTCTACTGGGATTATTTTAGCAGCACTGAGGGAATTTTATTGTTAACCTCACAAGTAGCAGTTAAAATATGAAAAAAAAAATGTTCAATTCAAATTCTTTTTAAGGAGAATTAACATGAAGAGAACAACTGCCTATGCTATCTGTATTCTTTAAGAGTTCTTCATGATGACTTATATCTCATGGCATCCACATTCATACATCTCCTTGTAGGAGCTAGGTGAGGATTCAGTATTTTATTGGAATGTAAATATTTTTAAAGCAGAATCTTTTACTACTAAGTTTTTCATAAAATTGCTAATATACAAAGAATATCTCTGTTGAGAGGATTTATCCACAAAAATTGAATAGCATGAAGTACAGATTGGAAAAACCTGTAAAAATTTTGTCTGGTCCTCTTAAATTGTATGACTACACCCTTAGGCATTTGTAGACCAGGAATTTCAACTCAGTCATGAGGGTGTGTGAAGAACTCTATGCTTAGTGTTTTTGCTATATTGCTTATTTACATCAGTAAAAAACCTTAGACTTATAGATTGCAAAGGGTATGCTTCTTGGTGAAGCCACAATTTAAAACAAGATTTACAACTTTGATTAGGGTACATAACCCAGTAATTTGGAGATATAATTGAGACTCAAAGATTTTAAATTAAAAAAGAACTCTGTAATTTAATGTTACAGAACCAATATGCTGGATATTTTACTAAGCAAATGAATTCTGACACTGACATTGCCATTCTTCCTGTAGCAGATAATACT